GTTTGTGCGTGCGTATGTGTGTGTGTGTGTTTCGGATTTTGTCAATGTTGCCTTTAAAACCTTTTTTGAGATTTTCTTCAGCTCCGTTCCAGTGAATGTCCAAGTATCCATACAACTAAATATATATATATATATATATATATATATATATATATATATATATATATATATATATATATATATATATATACTAGCAGCATGGCCAGGCGTTGCCTGTGCTTGATTGAAAAATCGACTGAAACAGCAATCGCTATCAATTGACTTAAAATATTTTTGCCCTTCCTTGCCTTTAAAAGAGTGCCCTTTGCCGTGCTGATGTTGCTACATGCCTTACTTCTTGCCTATCTCACACTGGGAATTTTTTCTAAGCTCTATACTAAACATTAAATCTGTTACGAAAAAAAGAACTAAACAAAATGAACACAAAACGATCAGCCTTAAAAAAAGAATTGTAACTGGAAAAAAAACGAATGAAAAAAGAATGTTAACAACAAATACTTTTTCACACCAAACCCAGCTCTGCGGAATCAGAATCAACGTTGAGTTTACGCAAGCGAATGAGCCAATTGGAGTAAAGTGCCATGCAGATTTAAATTTTTCTCATTTGTGACGAATGCAGCTATCGATTTTTTGCATGCTAGCATGCTAGTTAACATTCGTGTCAGTCATCTGTTGGCTCTCACGCTGGGCAATAGAATCTTCCTGCCTATTCGTGGCAGCCAGCTATTGACTCTCACTCTGACCAGTACAAAATGGCCGCAAATTACATGAAAACTGCCGTAGAAGCATGAAAAAATCGATTATTTCCACTATCGATGGAAGTTGGGAAATGCAAAATCGGTCTTGGCCTTATCCGCAAAACCGTCGAAAATTGCGGCCGTGCATTCGTTGCACACACACACACACACACACACACACACACACATCCTATCTTTTATAGATAGATATATTCAGTTGTATGGATATAAGTTTGTAACCCTGTATTTTACGGTATTGCGATCATCAGAATTTGTCTGATGATCGCAAATACGTGAAACTCAGGGTTAAGAACTAGTATCTGTACAGCTGAAATTGTTAGCCCTATTAAGCACTTTCCACTAAGTATCGCGCATATAATATATATGTGTGTGTGTTTGTATGTATATATATGCGTATGTGCGTGTGTGAGGGTTTGTATATACCACAGAAAAAAGAATCAAATTAATTATTAATATTAAATATTTAATTATCAATCTTACTCTGAATTTGACACAGTTCTTTTTGTTGACAACTATACATTCTGTCGTCTTAACAATAATAGATAGTCTTTTCTTCCTGCTTTCTTTTACTATCTTGTAGCTGTCCGTCTGTGTCTGCCCCAAATCCGGTAGTATTTTTCCTACTGTTATTGTTTTCCCCAGTATTAAATCTTGACAGAACATCTATTTCTATTAGGATTGCCTCGTTCTATAATTTAAATAAATTCGGTGAGAAGACGCCAGTTTCTATTTTTGTGCACGAACTCTATTTATTTTCTTTCTGTACGCCGGTGGTTTACTCACAGATTATATTCAGAATCTTATTCATATATTTTCTAAACAATTAAAGTTTTCCTAGAAATTCAAATAGGCTTTTGTGTCGTAGCATATCAAATGCTTTTGCGTAGTGAATGACACATTGATGCATTGAGTCATTAGCTTCGTCCACCGTAAGGAAAGTGGGCTTCCTGTGCCGCTCCAGTAAATTTTTCTCGTCGGAGTCGATTCTTCAAATCTCTAAATCAACCATTCGCCCTTTCATGGAGTATTGCTGCAATATATGGTCTGGAGTCCATTCTAATTGTCTCAAGGTCTTTGATGAGATCCAGAGACGGATATGCAATGTAATTGGCCCTGATCTGGCATGTCGTCTGCAGTCGCTCTCTCACAGACGTGCCGTCGCCTCCCTCTGTCTTTTTTACAAATAATTTCACGATAACTGCTCTGATGAGCTGCTTTCGCTGGTTCCCAGACTTCTTGAATTTAAGCGTTCAGCTAGGTTGGCATCTCGCTCTCACCTTTTCACTGTCGAAACTGTTAAATGTAGCCGTCTCTTCTACTCCAATAGCTTCATGGCTCGCACCTCTCGCCTGTGGAACTCTCTCCTTTTTTCTTGTTTCCCTCTTAGCTATAATCTCCATCTATTCAAATTTAATATCAATCGACGTCTCCAGATGCCTTGATCTATCCCCTATCCTTCTCTTCATCCTTTCCTCTATCACTCCTATTTGCTCTCGATCCAACTCTCTGTAACCCCTTGCGTGCTAGTGGCTTCCTGCTTTGCTTAGGGTGAAACGCTTAAAAAAATATACGGCCCTTGCATTTTTATTGTTTCGTCTGTTATCATTTTGATGATAAGTATTACATATCTTGCTCTAGTGTCTTTAACGAGATAGCACTCTTACTTAACTATTTCCTGTTTCATCCTGATACGCGTCCTGTTAATCAAAATCCCGATAAAGCGAGCCTTGAAATTAGAGATGTCAAATACATGCAGGTACAGGAAATAAAATCTTAAAGTGAACGAAAGAAGACACGCTACGTCGGTGAGAAAGTGACTGAAGTCGAGATAACAAGCCAAGAACGAATTAAAGATCCGTCTTTGGATTTCCCAAGAATCTCGAGATGAATAGCAGGAGCACCAGACCAAATGGAAACACGTCTAGACATCAAGATAGCTATTTAACTAAGTAGATACTAAAAAAATAAGCTTCTTGGTATTATAAACGCCATTGTTGGTGGGTACACGTGTTTTGAATTGATAACCATGTCATTTTAAACACTGAAATCAATTGTCAATCGGCTTGGAGTAGACCAAGATAACTAAAGATGTGTCCCTCCACTCACGACAGGAATCGCAAGAGTATTCTTTTTCCATCAGGGTATACCACTTTTATAACCAATGTGTGTCCTATCAGCTACGGACAGGAAATGAATAATGATAATGCAGTCTTTCGCCATGTTTTTTTAAAGAACGGCAGGCCTTGCAGCAATTAAAATATCACGCAAACTTAGAAAATTTTTGAAAGGATATACATTTAAATGTTATGAAATAAAATCATAGATTTTTTTTAATACACACACAAATATGAATTTATTTATTTCAATGTTTTTATTCAAATATTTGTGCAGCTTATTTAGTATGAAATCTGTGCATGGTGTTTTTTTTGTAGGCGGGGTGCGATTTCTTCATTGTTTTCTCGAATATGCGATAAGCAGACCCACATTTCTTCTTCAGTTGTAGTATTACTCGCTTCCAATTTTTGATGTTATTTAGCGCTGAGAAACCTAATTCTCATGAGTAAGAATTAAAAATTTGCAATAAAACTGATAAAGCCATTTTAGCTAATGTTGGAATATTCCTTATGAGACTTCAATCGCTAGAAATGGTAGCCAATTCTTCTTCACGGAACTGACGTCGAATTTTAGAAGGAATATTTATGTAAGGATTTCGAATCCAATAATACTCACGTGAAACATGTAAGAAGATGGCGCGTCACACTAGTGTCGCGAATCAGTTGGATTATGTAACAGAGAAATAAATGCTTAAAGAATGCACATGGGTCACTTGGAAGTAGGCACTGTACATTTCATTCGTAAATTTACCAACAATGAAGAAACTCACTCACTCTCTCTCTCTCCTTTCACTCTTTCTCACTCCCTCAGTCACTCTTCCTTATATAATTTTAATATATATAATTTTGATATATATATATATATATATATATATATATATATATATATATATATATATATATATATATAATTTTAATATATATAATTTATATATATATATATATATATATATATATATATATATATAAAATATATATATATATATATATATATATATATATATATATATATAAACAAGCAGAAATTATTCTCCTGATGATGGCCATGTTGGCCGAAACTAGTCGAGAAATCTAAATGAAATAATAATAATAAAAACGAAAGAATATTAATCTACAACCCAGTGTGTCTGAAGATTTTAATTTTTTAATATTTTTATTGTTCAATACATTGTTATAAAATTTTACGTACCTAGTTTTAAGTATAGCTAACATAACTCATGTGTTTTCAGGCATTACTGTAAATCAATTGGCAAATGTTTTCCTTGGACTGCAAAATCGTATTACCCTTTGTATTGCTAATGATGGAGGACATGTGGAAACTTAAATAAAATTTCAATAAAACGTTAAAAGAATATAGATTTACTTCTTTCTAATCCTTTTTACAAATTATTTCTATCGCAAATACAAATAAAGTTATAAATTTTTTAATGTGCACACGAACTTTATGGACAGACTATATATATATATATATATATATATATATATATATATATATATATATATATATATATATATATATATATATGTATATAATGTATTGGGGTAGCAGATCATTATTCAAACATATGTTGCTAAGAATAACCGACAACGAAAGTCTATGATGTTTTGGTCATGAGCCGTTGTAAGTCTTCGTATAGTGGCTTTAATTTCGCGAAAAAAATAAAGATAAAATTGTCCAGCATTTGGATATTATGCTGTTCTTTGGTCTAAGAGTGGTTATATGTACATTACGACAGCGATGTTCACCATCAAAGATGAAATCCTGTTATGTTTATATTGAAATGTGCCATGCGACGATAATGGCCGCGGAATAGCAGACGCAGGTCGTAAATTCCTATGACGTTGTACATGATCACGTGAGAGAAAAAATATCATCAAAACCATATGTTTAGATGTTAATTAAATATGTTGTGACTGCTTTGAAATATGATATTGTTCAGTGTGGGTTGCTTTGTTTTAAAGTAAATGGCCACCAATAATTTTAGGTTATTTTTACTGTGAATATATATATATATATATATATATAATTATTTAAAAATTATAACATAAATATGTCATAAAATCAGTACAAAAATAGCCATTTTGTTTCAACACCTCTGGTGTCCTATTAATTGATGATGATGAATGT